TTTCTAATCAATTATCAGACGATCGCTTATTGCATTATCAATTTAATAACCTTTTTTTTTTAATATAATGTTATGGCCAATTTGGTAGCAACAACATTTAGATTTCAGGTAAGTGAATCCATCAATTTAATGCATTGAATACCAATACAATTAGGTATGCGCATGATTATGAGATAACTTGCACATTTATTTTCTCATTTTAGAAGCTTTAAATTGAGTATAATTTTATATTATGAAAATAAAATAATAATTTCTATTTTAATGCTAAACTATATTATTTTGAAATGTCTACTAATATTTATTTAGTTTATAAAATCAATGAATAATTTATATTTTTTATCCTTGCTATTAATATTTATGTGTTATGTTAATAATGAACAACTATTTTTATAGTTTAACTCAATAAGAAATTAAAAAAAAATACGAATTTTTTTTTGGTAATGTATCAAAATTACGTTAAAAGAAGTATAACATTATTTATATTTGTTAAATAATAAAATATATGATTCTTTTAAGAACGGATAAAAGGATCATATAAATTAAGACATATGAAAGATTAATACTATAAGGCAATCGTTCATAGTTTGAACTTTGAATATAAATATACATTTGTTTCTTATATATATATTTTTTTTTAATAAGCAACTACACTTTGCCCAAAAAAAGCCTATTTTTTTTTAATAAACATCTTCCTCTTAAACGTTTTGTTTAAAAAGGGAATAAGACGAATATGTGTACATTTATTTATTTATTCACAATCAAGAGAATCTTTCACAGAAAAGAACAAAAAGATCTCCAATGCAAAGGTGAGGGATCAATAGTTGTAGTACGATTATAAAGTAGTAAAATATAAAGGCATAGTATAAAATAATGATATGCATATAATAAAGTAGTTTTTCTATGATTAGTTTCATAATGAAGCTTTTTTGGCTCATTTGTCCATTGACTTTGACAACTCGATTGCAAAATCTTACATTAATAACTATTCATGACAGCTTTTTCAAGCATTATTATTCTACCAATTAAAGAGAAAAAGACACTTTCTTTTTCCTAAAAAAAAAATAAAAATCAACCAAATAAAGTGGATTTTAGGCTAATTTCCAAATGATGGTAGCTTTACTTGTTGGTCCAGATAAATCAACACCATATATATAATTGGGCTATAAATCTCAAAGAGAAACTTATGACCACAAACAACAAAAAGGGACCCTCTTCAACCATTCTGACACTTGCTTACCAAGTCACTCTCCATATTAACCTATCTTAATATTTTTATATAAAAAATTCATTTGTCTAATCATAATAATTTATAATTAATATTAATTATATAATAATTAATTCTCGTCTCTGGGTGTCTAGGTATCCACCATAAGCTTTTTCTCGTTTAAACCTCGTCCTTCACTTTTAAGGCTCGAACGTATTTAAGTAATTGTCGTTCTGTAAGACCATAATGAAAACGCAATTTTTATTTTTCTTCTAGACGAATACGATATTGAGATTTTTTACCGGAACGCGATTGGTTTCTAAGATCACTTTCGGTCCTAGGCTTTTTATTACTTAGTCCTAGAGTGCTTTACCCCTAGATGTCCAGTCAACTGTTGCGCCTCAACGCATTTCGGGGAGAACCAGCTAGCTCTGGGTTTGCTACGTCATAACCGTAGATTTTTTTTTCCATCTCGTTTTTTTTAACAAAGACATCTCGCCATATTCATCATTTAAAGATATATCTTTCATTACAACAGTTATATGACAGCGGGTGGAGAGAAAAAAAATGAATTGAACTAAAAATCTTTTCTGGAGATGTCCATTTTTCTGAAGAGAAGTCGGGATCACTAACTAATACTAATCTAATATATCTAATATAACAGAAAATACATATATATTAATTACAAGTTAGAATTTATATAAAATTCCGTACATAAAATTTCAATTTTTTTTATATATAATCATATCTTTACCTCGTAAAGACAAAAAATAATTTTCACAAAATCATCTGTTTAATTATATATCACATATGATGAATAAGAAAGAAAAATGACATACGTAAATAAAAAAACATGAAAACATCACGTAGCAATCAGACTAGCTAAGTTTTATGATAAAATAAAATTTTATTTTTGGTTATAAGCTTGCAAATGTGTATACATAACGCTCTTATTATACTTGATCAATAGGTAGTTAAGTTAGTTTCTCATATATTTTACTTTATTACAAAATACAAATATATATCTTTTATAAGCTAATTGGCTATGGATATAATTATATAATATAATTATAGTCTAATAATGAGGATTCATTTCTTAGCTCCACTTAGCTGACTTTTTATTTTTAAAAGAAAATTCGTACCACCATCGAGCATGTTTTGTCTATGACAAGGTGTTGATTGTTCCCAATGAGATTTAATAATATTATTTACTTTTTAATATTTTGTTCTTTGCTTACAAGTTTTATAAGTTGGCCATATAAAGAATTATTATTTCCAAATATAATTTAACGCTTTATAAATCAACATACTTATACTTTATTATTAACTAAGTTGTTGATCACTTCCAGTTAGATATAGCTATTACTCTAAGTGATTTGAATCTATAAATATTTATACCCCAAAAAAGTAAATTGCAACACCTTAATGCAAATTGTAGTTTTTGTTTGTTGAACTAATCTAGTCAGCGTGTAGCTCTGGATTTTCAAATATACTTTGACAAATTATATTAGAGTGAAGTTTTACCATGTGTTTTTGACCTTAAATTTTTCTAAAAATATTTGACTATTTCAAAGAATATGATTTATATCCATAAGTTCTAAAAGTTATTAAAAATATTCGTAAATTTGTATTGTCATTATATAATGAATATGTTCTATTAAAAAAAAAATCTTATCGTATTGATGGTAACAATCAACAATAACAAAATACAACAAATAAGTAAGACAATAATACATAAACGCATACTAAAACGTGTCATTAATTCAGTTATAATTATATTGAGCATTTTTTATAAAATATAAAATTAGGGGTAATTTTGATTTTTTTTTTAAATTCCCAAATATTTAAACTTCGCCCAAATACTTTTTTCTAGTATATGGAAACTCGAGATACTTGTCAAATATATTTATCAAGTTATAAAACCAAATATCACTTTTTAAATTTTTTCCAAATATTCCTGGGATGAAATAAGTTAATTAAGGGTTAATCTTAAAAGGCCGAATAATTTAGACAAACTGCTGGAGATTTCAAGTTCGAAACTTCTTTCCTACGAAAACAAAGTTACCGAAGGATAGCAACAAGAAGTTTGTCCTTCGACAAAACTTTGTCAAGGGGTGTATATATAGTCATATTTTATTATGACTTATTAACCACAGTATTTAAATTTAGTTGAGTGCCTACTATTGAACACACGTGCAAGTGGAAACGACTGCATTTATGTCATTTCTAGCTAAGTTTTGAACAAGTTATTGAGTACTCACTTTCCAACCATACTTATTAACTTTGATACACTTTTAAAACCTATAAATAATAAGAAAATTCTATTATATCACCTTTTGAATATAATATATATAATATCTTAAAAATATAACAGAATAATAATTATAATGTATAAAATTATTCATTAATTTAATAAAGTGAACAAGTATTATTGAACATCTCAAAATAACATAGAGAACAACTGTGACTTAATCCATCGGTGGCTCCTTAACTTTCACTTAGACACGTAAGCTAGACTTTGTTCATTTTAAACATCTCAGGTAAAGTCGTGATGTGCCATTTTGACACTTTTAATAATATGACATAGTGAATGTGACCCACATTAACCGCGTGTCAGACTCTTTTTTTAGTCAATTTTAATTTTATATTTCCTTCTTCTTCCCCATTTTTCAATCACTATTTTCTCAAACTTGAACTTCTTTCATAGTAAAATATATTCGATGATGCCACGAACAAAGAATCTAATACCAAATATCAGAGCTTTCCCAAAGATTTACCAAGGATGATGCCCTTCTTCCTCAACTTAATTTGAGAAAAAAAAAGACTCAAATTTGAAGAAGAAAAAATGAAAAGTTGGGGATGAATAAAAAGTCACTGAAAATTGCGGTAATCGTATACATTTGTATTTTTAAAAGTTTATTGGATCTTAAATTTTTTTTAGCAATAAAATCTGTAGAATTTTCTTTTAGCGACAAAATTTATGGAGTTGTATTTATTTAGAAAAAAAATGAGTTACACAAGTTAACTAAAGCTATACCATAAAAGGATTGAATAATATTTAAGTATAAGAGATAAAGAAAATTTTGAATATTATGATAAAAGATTAAGGGGTGTGTGCTACTGTGCTTGTTTCTGCAACGTTGGAGAAGACGATGGGGTGAGGGTGGGGCAGGAGATGCCTCTCCTAGTGATTTTTTTAGGTGATTTAATCATTTTTTGGTTATAATCTTAAAAAAATGTCACGTATTATCATTCAATCTTTTTTTTTCTTCATAATTGATAGTTAAATATTTAAGAATTATTTTGAACAAAATGACAAGCGTCCTCACTTAATTTGACACTTCATATATATTATCCGCGAGTGAAATATTCTCACCATTATATTTTTGCTGAAGGTAAAAAAAAGTGTCAAAAATAACATTTTAGGACCTTACATGAGGTGTCTGAAATGAACCAGGTCTAGTTAAAATGTCTAAGTGAAAATTAATGTTAACTTTAGAAGGTTACCAATGAGTTAGCCCGAACAACTATTAGGTAGACATAATGGAGATAGTGCTTCAGGTAGACAAAATAGATATAGATATAGATATATTGCTTACCATATTATAGCAGGTAGACAGAATGAAAATTACATCCGTGATACATAAATTCGTAATCTCTTCAAACACCGCCTAGTTAGGACGTTTTGATGCTCCAGCTCCGGCTCTAGATGGCCCTGCTCCTGCTCCAGAAAATACAGTGCTATGCATGGCTTTGGCTAAAAGATATGCTTTAATCTGCTCTAGCTTTCCTATCATTTCGTATACATCTTTGGGTTCTTCTGTAGTTTGATGTTGAATATGGTCCAACATCTGCTCCAACAAATCTTTAATAGATTTCATATCCATTCCCAGATGAGAAAGAGAATTCTTTAAGTGAAATGACTACCTTCTCCAACTTGTTGGTAATTTGTCCATATTTTCAGCATTAGTCTTCTAATCGATATTTATTATTTTCTCATCTTTTGTGGAAAATTAAGGCCAAGGGAGATCTAAGTCTATCTAATGAAGAAACTGTCCCTTTCTCACGGATTTGCCGTGACCTTTTCAATATGAAAATACGGATTATTTGTTATTAATCCGTATTGTTGGCTAGTTGCATGCAAATGATCACATTAAATATTCCTAAATTTTATGCTATTAGCTGATGCAGCAAATCTCACCTTCCTGATTTCCTATTAAAAAGGAATTAGAGTTTTTTGTCCCATTTTTGGGCCTATTGGTCAATATTGGCAAGAGTTAGTATACATGCTTATTGAACAACTAATCAACGCAGATAATCAAACAGCAAAAGGAGCCAAAGGGCACAAGGATCTTGATGCTATATATATCCAAGTGGGAAGAATGTTAGAGGTGAGTAAAATGACCAATATAACACTCACGGGAGTACCGTTCGACCATGAAAGTAACCCAATAAATAAATGGATTAACTAAATAAAATAAAATAAAAAATTAAGAAAGATTGTGAATTCGAGTCACGAAGAGAGCGAGCGAAAAGGTGAGAGCTCCTAAAAATAAATTAAAATAAATTAGAAAGAGTTTTCACACTATAGAAGTGAGGTGAATTCCCATTAACACCTTTCCTTCGCCAACCCCCAACGCTGCGAAAGCTTTTCTTTACTAAAGAAAGAAAAAAAAGAAAAGGAAAAGGGCAATGTGCTGAATGTTATTTAAATTGAAAAGGTAATTGACCAAAGCAAATTTGATTCAACCTTGTTCAGAAATTGCACCTATAGTTAAAACGCGATATTATAATAGATAATTGATGAATTTGAACGAAGAAAATGATTTCCTTAAAAGATTTCTTTTTTTTTTTTTACAGATCTCATGAATTACTTTTCACTATTACTTCTAGTGAAAGAAAGTCATAAAACTAAAACCATATTTTTATTGAAGTTCAGCATGGCTTTCTTTCTCGAAAAATGAAATACACACAAAATGACAAGCCTAGTTTTTTTAAAAAAGCATTATTTTAAGCTCAAAAAACGGCAAAGCTAAAAACACCTTTTGATGCACTGCTAGAAACTGAGTAGAAATTCGAACAAAAGAGTTCATTGTTAAGAATAGAACGTAAAAAGGTCAGCTTGTTCGTATGCTTTAAATCTTCAACGAGCCAATAGGATTAGGACTAATACTGACTAAAGAAATGTTTAGGCACAGTGCTAGGAGACATTACGAGAAAGATTCTTTAGATGCCAAGAACCAAAATTAATTAGAGCTGATAAGTTCGACAAATGAGCTTGACAGACATGGTAAAAGGGGACCACTGTAAGATTCGACACATGTTCTTACACATCTTCTTTGGTCGATACACATTTTTTTTTCAATGCTTATTCTATATTCCTTGTTATAATTGACATTTCACTGTTGACCTCCAGCTTTCGAGAAGGAAAACGAACAAAAAACACATTGCAAAATCATATTCAAATACTTGACTATTCTTTTGCTCTATATTAATTAACCTCCATTAGGAGTCGGGAGCAAGAATTTCGAGTAAAGACAAAAAGGATTTTGAGAACTGAAAGGTTACACAAATTTAAGGAAAGGTGTATAAGTCAAATTGGAAGGCTTCTAACCATTTTGTAATCGCAATGCTTGAGTTAGTTGCATGCACACATTGATTAATTCTATACCTCATCAACACTTAAATTAATTCTATGGATATTGTTATCTCTCACCAATACAAGTATCGAGTCACTGAATAGATCACAGATAGTGTTTTTGCCTCGTTAGATTCTAATTGAGACCTCATGGTTCACAACATACTTTATTGATCACTAGGACACATCTATTTGTAAAAAAATCTTGAGAAGGAAAACCAAAAAAAAATGAACACAAGAAGATAATTTAATACTTGGCTATTCTTTTGCTATATACAAGCTAATACTCCATAAGGAGTCGGCAACAAGAATTTCAGGCAAAGATAAAGGAGGTTTTGAAAAAACTGTAAGGTTACACTAGTTTATGAACTGGTGTATAATCAAATTAGAAGGCTTACGAGAGGTCTCGAGTTCTAACTCGGGCATTATGTCATGTTTGATAGGGATACCCTAGTACCTACCCTCAAAAATGGAACTATATGGTGCAAATCCAGATATATTAGGCTACAAAGCGGATATCTGATGCCACGTGGGAACCATAAAAAAAACTTTGGAAGGCAAGGACTTATCATTGAAAACCTCCAAATTAGATAAGAATACTCGTAACTTTCGCCACCCTTGCATGATAATTCAATATTCAAGCAAGGACAAAAATGGTTTTGAGAACCGAGAAAGAGTACAACTAATTGTATGAAATGGCATATAGCCAAATCGGAAAGCTCCTAACAGTTTCCCTATACAAACAAGTAACCGTTATGAGAAATTACCAACCCTCTATATTTGGATATAATTACTTGTAGCTTTCACTCTCCTTGCCTTTTCACAGTTAAACAGGCTATGCAGTGTCACATTCTATGGTAAAAGAAAACTAAAGAGGTCTTGCAGCATGTTGTTCAGAAAGTGCCATCAGTAAATACTATGTATACTAGATACCTATTTTCTAGTAATCGAGAAATTCCTGCGGTCCTAGTATTGCAGGATAAGAGACTTGATGGATATTGGACCTGCCCCTCTATTCTTTTCCACTAACATACTAGGCTTTTTTTGTCTGTACAGGTGAATGAAACCTAGATAGCAAAGTACCACTAACGTCATGCTAGTGTGCAAGAAACACCCCGAAATTAACAATCTTTTCCTCAGTGGAATTCTATTCTGTTGGAGAAAAAGAAGAAAATATATTTGGTTTTGAACTATATGTACTTACATGTTCCTGAATCTCAAGCATAACATAAGTCTAACAGGGCCACATGAAGGATAACCATGGAGAAAGAATACCTTTAGTGGGATAGGGGCAATCATGCCATTCCATCATATGATAATAGGACCCACAGAAATTTATGAGAATCTTCAGCTCCATGTCCATTCACCAGAATGATCAGGGGAAATTTCTTCAACAGATGTAATCCAACTTGAATTATCAAGTAATAGAGATCTACCCCCTGCTTTGTCAGAGAACACTTCAGAGTTGCAAGAGAACCAAATGTCAGAGTTGAGTCCATGTTCAACTGATTGAGGAGCAATTTCTCTTGGGTTTGAACCATACAAGCTGTTTATGATCTCCTCATGTGTTAGACCAATTGAATCTTCTATATGAGGCAGTCTTATAGCATTATAGGTTGATAAACCCTTCTGCAACGGGGAACTGGCTGTTGACAAGATCTTCCAGCCAAAAGTATCCAAGGCCATTGGCATGAGGCCATCAGAATCACAATGATTCTTCTCATGATGACTTAGATATGGGATGATTGCACTGCTGCTTTCAAATGGATTCTCAGGATTAAGATCTTCCAGAAGATCTTGCTCCTCTGAGCTACATAGCAAGGGTAGATCAAACTGGTCCATTCTTGCAACTGCATATTCTTCATGTTCAAGAATCATTCCAAAATCCTTGGAGCAGATGTCAGTTGGAAAGAATTTCTTATGAAAGCTTGTTGAACAAGAATATGGCAGCACATCAGAATATCCAGAGTTCGTAAATAAAGACGATGAACACAATGCCAGCGCATCAAGCTTCTTTTCTGTACTCTGCTGGTAATCAACGTGCCATGAGGTGGCTATTGGTGAACACAATTCATTCCCTTTGATAGTTGTAATGGCTAATACAGGATCATTTTTCTCCTCATTGAAATCCCAATCTAAGAATAAGTCTTGTGCTCCTCCACTTACAGGTATACCTGCACTATGAAGTCTATATGGTAGGAAATCAGCAAGCCCATGATGGTCAAAGGATAATGAAGGCAATGAATCACTATGATCCCACAAACTTATAGTTATTTTGTTGTTTGAAATTTGGCTATTATCTGCATCTTCATAGTGCAACTCTGGGGGAACTCTCTCCTTTGGCCTATCAAAGAAATTACTGGGACAGCAATCACTCTGGCTCATCCTATATTCTGGTGCTATAACATGTTCTATGTGCCTTGAAGGAGGTCGTGTCTTTGCATGATCTGGCTTAGCATTTGCAAATGAGCTTGTACTTGCTATTTCCCCTTTCCCGACCGCCGGTGAATCCCATAAATCCTGAAATTTCAAGTAAGAGAAGTCAAGAAAAATAAAAGAACTTGAAACTCATATAGTTGCTGAAAAAGCTAAGAGATCATACTTACTTCATCCTCCTTCCTTCCAGGAAACAGCCGCCTGAGAAGTGCAGAAACCAAATCAAACCTGGAAACCTAAGTCAACTTAAGATGGAACTTATCAATATACAAAAACAACTGAAAACGTAAATCAGAAAGACCTTTCAGAATTGAGTTTTTGGACGTCAAGAAACAGTTTATTTGCCCGCTGACAAAGTTTCTTCCTCTTTGCTGCAAAAATCCCATTACCAGAGTACTGGCTCCCTAAAGAATGATAAGGAAGACATAAATGTCTCTGAACAAATGTTTATGTTTACATCTAAGTCTAATCATACGCCCAGTTAACTGCTAAAAAATAGCAAGCACCATTACCAGCTCACTGAGTTTAATAAAACCAGTCAGCTACGGTAACAGCAGAACACAGACAAAACAAGATACAGATATATGATTCCCCACCTCATACAATGAAGCACATATTCAAACAGACAAGGTTCTCATTCTTGTTTCATCATGGCTAAAAAAGCCTCATTAAGGTATTGCTAGAGTGCCAAAACCTATGGCCATAAGAGTGCTAATACAAGGGAACACATGGGAGATTGACCTTAACCTAGCTCAAACGACTAAAAGATTATGTTGAGAATCAGGAAATATCATTCCCTACCTATGTTGCTCGAACTCTTAAAAAATGTCATAAGGTGTGTGTCGGATCCTCCAAAAGTAGTTTTTTTGGAGGAACTGACACAGGTGCGGCATCATTTTTGAAGAGTCTGAGCAAATAGTGCCCTAGTGTTTCGTTTTCCTCTTTTCTTGGATAAATATAATTGCTCACAAATGAAGCAGCCATTCTAGTTCTTCCCAGATCCATCTCACAGAGCAATAATTATCCATAGAAAGGAAGAGGCGAGGGATTGATAGCGTTAATTATGCATTCAGTATCTTAAGTGAAGAATCATTGTTCCCCAGAGAATTGAATATAACCTGAATTATGTGATGGACCTGCAAGGGGTGACAGCAGCAAATTTGGATATACAGGAGTCACTGCAGTTGGGGGTGAAAAGCACTTAAGTTTTGCCTCCTTGGATATACCTGCATTTTGGTATACCGTGAAGATCGTCAAAATTAATGAGGTTGACCAAACAGAGTCAAGTTGCTTATATTACTTGTATGCGGTATAATCTGCTTCCTACCTATGACACCATCAACAGGTGAAAAAGACCGGCATTCATTAGTCTGATGTTCCTTTTCAACTTGAATTGGGATTTTAACATCCTTATTTGGGCACTTCAGCATATTGTATGTGCTCTGCGTGTCTGCACATTAAGCTAATTAGCTAAATCCTTCAAATAGAAGGTGGTTTCGGAAAAAAATATAGCAAGTCGAAATTTGCTTAAAGCTTTTTGGGAACCAGAAAGTTAACTAATTAGAAATCCAAATGCAACCCACCTGAGATACAATTACTAGGTTGAGTGATCTTGGATAGTTTACTCCCTCTATGAAGAAGATCTAATTTGCTATGGTCAATGTTCTTTTTCAACTTCTTGAAGAAAGCATACTCTGAAGTTTTGGGAGTATCAGCTGCACTAACAATACTATTATTTCTTGTAGAATTTAGAGGGATATAGATGAAGTAAACATCTTCTAAAAGAATAAACTGATTAGGACATAGGTAAAAAAAAAGGGAGTACTCAAAGAAAGAACAATCTTACAATTGGGGTTACGAGCTGTACGATATTTTTTGGACAATGTAACTCTTCCAGCATTTGGAAGAGGATCTGCTTCATTATCTGGGGATGCAACCTTTTTGTCCTTGATCACATCTAACAGTGAGAAATACTACAAATGTCATATATAGCTGGGGGAATAAAGCACAAAATTGTTAACACAATAATAAATGAGATATAGGAAAATTGAAACAAAATGCAAGAAATGAGTGAAACCATACAAAATCATGTACAAAGATAATAAATTAATGAAATATCCACGGTAAGTCCAGCTACCTCCATGGTAAGTCCAGCTACCTCCATTTAGTCCGAAAGCATAACCCATAGTATCTTTACTACTGGCAAAATGCCATCGACGTGAAACACATCAATATAAAAAATGGCAAATAAGAGACTTAATTAATAAGGAAGAGGATTCATAACACCTCCTTGCTTACATCAGGACTCTAATTATTTGAGGTTAATCATAGAAATTTTATTGTAATCACGTAAAAATCAATTATATTCACTATTCATCTAGTTTTGCACAAGCTACTTCTTCTTAGCAAGCTTATGAATGAAATGAGCTTCAAGACACATTTGTACTGCTATAAAGAGTAAGATACTAAAGCTTAAATGGAGACACATGGACCCCAACTTGAATTGGGCATAGTTGCTATTAAAGTTGCAAGTAATAAGATACATGCCCAAGCAAATGACAGAAAAAAATGAAAAAATAAAATCCAACAAATAATTGCAACTGCAATATTTTGATATATAATATCATCACACCATTGTTGAATAACAACTACGAAATAATCCAAAATAAAAACACATAATCCTGAAAATGCACCAAGGAAATCATTCACATTCTTAGCATCTCGACAGTTATTAAAATGCAAGCAAAATGCAGCACAAAAAAGGAAAAAGTTATGTGGTTGGACTATGATCGTTTGAAGTAGCCTCGAGTAAAACAGGTGAAATTGAAATTTTTCAATCTGGACCCCATCCAAAGCCAATATGTATGCTTATGATTGGTAATATCCAAGAACTAAATCCAAAATAACTCCCCTCTTGAAATTCAGTGCGAACTGGCGAACCCAGAATACTTGTCACTTTTTTGTGTGACAAAAAGTTCCAACTTAGTGTAAACATATAGTTTCGAGAAGTTCTAAATTATATTTATATTGTTCGATTCTAAGACAACAGGTTCATCCACCCACATTTCTGCAGTAGCTGACCATACGCATACCATTTCACAATCAATCACGCCAATATTTATAAAGTCGATCAACATATTATGAACCAGTAAACATATCTTAGAAGAACTAAAACAAAAAAAATCATTTATGCATAATATGTTTTTTCAGAAGACTTGTCACTATTTTCGCAGCAATAATACCTTCGGACTTTAGTATAAATATATAGTTTGGAGAAGTTCTAAATTATATTTATGGTGTTTGATGCAAGGCAACACGTTCATCCATAGATATTTTTCTGCAGTAGCAGATCATACGCATACCAATTTCACATTTAATCACGCCAATTTTATGAGGTGGATCAACATGCAGCTGAAACTAAAATAATATAAGAACCTAAACGAGAAAAAACTGGCAGATCGATTGGCCTTGAAAGAAAATTAAGTTCGGACTTAGTATAAATATATAGTTTGGAGAAGTTCCAAATTATATTTCTTGTGTTCAATCATACGCATACCATTTCGCAATCAATCACACCAATAAACTAAAATTGTTAATCTATGAGATTCAAAACAACTGGTAAATCGATCAGCCCGAAATGAAAAAATTAAGTTGCAAAGTATGTCAGTACCAAATCGATCTTCATCATTGAGGCGCTGATGTTGAGTGATTTTTCCAGCTGAAGAATTTAGGGTTTTTGGTGGATGATTAACAGCGGATTTGAATTTTCGCCTCATTATGTTGTGATGATTATCCTTCTGAAAGTCGAACGAAGTCTTCAAGTTTCAACCTCTTTGATTAATGAAGAAGACGAGAGGGAATTTTAAGCGCCAAAGCGGTTCAATTAGCGCGGTTGGGCTTGTGGGATTGGACTTGGAGCATACTTATTCACGAAATTTCGCAATTGTTTGTCACGTTTCAATGGCGGAAACGCTATTCATGAAAGTTAGAAATGAAAAAGAAACTATAGTTTTGAAAAATCAATTTTACAAAAAAATATATTTTTAATGAAAATTGCCACTTAATTTTAGAAAGAAATTAAGAAAACACTTTCAAAAGTATTATATATAACAGAAAATAAGCAATTTTAGTCCATTTTCTTTTTATTACTTTCCATATGATCTCGCCCTCTAATGCATAAGTATTTTCTATCTTTTCCAGTAAAGAACTTTCTAGGTTATCAACATTGATATCCTTAACTCATGCGCATAGGATGTTGAGCCTCAACGTCTAATGAAATTATACTTCATGCTTCAACACAAAGAACTATTATGCAAGGAACCTTCTAGGTATACAGATGTTACAATGATATTTTTAAATCACGCGCAGAGGATGTTGAGCCTCAACGTCTAATGCAATTACTTCATACCATTTTGCATTCACTGATTTTCTTAATTTCATTTCCTTTTAGTTGATTGTTTAGTTTTCTTGCACTACCTGCAGAAATTCATGTAGAAATCACAGGTCCATGTTGATCAATATTTTGTAATATTGATCGTATTGATCAATTTGATTGTCCTAAGTACAATAATAGTAATTCTAGTTGTACTATAATCCTAATCATAAAAGTAATTCTAGGCGAAATATCCTAATTAACATAGGTCTAATTCTTCAGCCAGCAGTGTTATAACTCGCAGTCACCTTCGTTGGATTTATTCCTTCGACATGTTGCAATTCTCAGCTACCTTCTTCATCAACATTTGTTGTAGACAAGTCAATCACCCTCGTTAGATCTGTTCCTTTGACTCGTTCCATTCGGCTGTATGCATAATTCTTTAAAAAGCAATAGATCTAGCAAACTAAACACTTGTTCTTGTTATTGAACAAACCATTCAGCTATATTAGCCGTATGTAGTTCACACTGTTCTATTTTTACATCTTGTACTTGAGACCAAGATGGAGAAGTACTCAAAATAGTGCCATAAAAGAAAATTGGCAACTGATTGAATTAGGCAGTGGCAATTCCTGGCAGCAGACACCCTTTGCAACAAGCAGTAGCAGATATTTTGTGGTGATATTGCATTTTCATCCTACTGAAGTATTTTTTATGGCAACTTAAATGGAGACTCAGTTGGTTTTTCAGTTGGAGTTTATTCTTGTTCTCAGTTTGAGCAAGAGGAGGCTGAAGCCTGAAGAATCTCAAATGAGCTGCATCTTTTGTCGATTCTCGCCTCCATGCTGTCAGAGCTCAGAGGTAATTTTTCCGAGTTCCCGTAAAGTTGAATAAATAGACACACACATGCTTCGTAACATCTTTCATAATTTTGCTAGAAAATACAATCATGATTTTGCCTCAGTGTCGCATTAATTTTTTGTCATCACACAGTCATATTTAATGGTATCCTCAAATGTATTTTCGTTAGTGTTTGACAATTTCAATTTTCACTCATGTATTGTCAATTTTTGTTGGGTTTGATAGCAAGGGAAAATATTTTGATTTAAATTATTTTTTTGAGAATTTTGAATAGAGAGGTTTGATGTATACTTGGCCCTTCCTTTTACCGGATTTTACATGCATGTTAGTTGTTGACTCAGAGCGTACTTGAAGAAATATATAGGAGGGTATAAGGTTTAAGAAAGTGAAATATCAAGTGCAGATACAGTCTATAGAAGGTCTGTCATTGGCGTAAGTTATCAAGCATTTATGGCTTCAAGAATTTTCGACTGGTAGGTGCAATACATTATTATTCTCTTTTCATATTTCAATTTTCCACATGTTTTAGTTGTTTTTTAATACTGTACAATTTTTGTTACAATCGGAGCTTGAGGTGTAATTTGTTCCATCTATCTTTGTTTTTAAATACATATTCTTCATATGCTAATCCATTGAACTTTAAAGCTTTATATTACTGAGATCCATCTCAGGAAACAGAAAAATGGACAACAATGAAGCTCTTGGAGATCTTAGATAGTAATTTTTTTTTTTTTGTTATTTTGTATTGATACTCAGAATGGCGGTGTTCTTTAGTATAAACCTATGTTGTTGTATTTATAAAACATCCCACACTGATAAAAAGTAAAGAATTATCGGAACTAAGGTGTATACTGCAATACACATCAAGTAATTTTCATTCTTCTAATTTTTACAAGTTACAAGTTATCCTTCATCACTATATAACTTTGCATTACATCTTTAAATTGATAATAGATTGTTGGACCGTGCTTAGAATCAAAATCATGTTACTATTGCAAATGGATATTATCTAAATTAGAGCTACATGCCTAAACAACTAGAAGAAAAAAAAAGAAGAAGAATACTATTCAATTGTAAACTACATACAAGCCTAAACCTAAAAGAATAAAAGTTGAAAATCTAACGAATCATGGAAAGAGGATTAAGGCCATTATTCATAGTAAGGTGTCAATGGAACTATGAAAGCCTCAATAAAGAAGCAAACTAGCGCTAGCTCTCCATAACAATCAATGCATTATTTGCTAGAAACAAGAGCATGGAAGTAACAACCAAGGAGACTAGAGTCCAAATAAGAGGGGGATTTTTAACACTTTTCACAACTTCAAATAAAGGAAGAGGGCTGGCTCAGGCAATAAATCGTTTACATTATATTTTTTGGCATTCCAACTTATTGACATTGAAATTCAACATTAACCAAACTATTTAGGACCATATTAGGGTCATGAAATTAATGGAGAAAAATCGCTTTAACAAAACGAAAACAACTTGTGACTCTATGACAATTATAATAAATATGCATTTCCATAATAATCAGAGCAACAGAGAAGTGACATAGACAGTCTAACAATGCACCTTTCAGAAATAAAGCACACACAGAGTTTGTATTAAGATAAACTAATCAAGGCGTAAGTGAAAACGATGGAGATATACAAAAGACTACAACTAGATAATCCTTTTATACTCAGCTTAGATCGAATAAGAAAATAAACCTTTTATGATCGAGCAAGAGTGAGATCTAATATGCTAACAACTAACACTAAACTATCTCAAAACAGAATATATACACAGATAACACATAAAAAGAACACCAACACAGCCTCATCATAAACGGAACAACATAGAAGAACCGAGAATTACAAAAAACCAAGAAAGGATTTACCTCTATACGACCATAACGAGATTCCCAGAACTCCGGCGAGCTCCGACGATAACTCAACTCCTTTTGGATGCTTTTTTGTTCAAATATTAACTTTCTATCTGCAACCCTAAAAATCTTTCTTTTCCATAAACTGTGGTTCTCTCTATCCTTGTATCAGTGAATAATGACTCCCCTTTACTGAATGGAAAAGAGGGTATTTATAGACGAAATTAGGGCTCTATTTTGGGAGGAAAAGAAGGCGGATAGGAACAACGGTCGATTTTTGAAATCCCCACTCAGAAATCTCTGCTGCTTGTACTCAAATTGCAACGGCTAAGCAACAGGGGCCGTTCGATTTGACGCTAGGACGAGTGAATCGTTGATATTGCTCCATCTAGCACTGACACTTGTACGAATTGTCTGAGGAAGATGACCAGAAAATGCAGGGTACTGTCGCTGCTGCTTTCCGTGTGTTTTGACGGAATTATTGACGTCGTTTGGAGACGTTGCTGCTCTTGTGTAGACGCCGTTTCATCGCTGTGTGTTGGAATTGTTTTGTCGGTTATGAGTTTTACCGTTGGAATCAGCTGCTGGACTTAACGTCGTTGGCTTTCTCTGCCTCTGTTTGTTGTTAAACGTTAAAAGTAGGGAAAATTTCCCTTAAAAGTAACGTTTCTGGGAATTGGGCTGGAAGGTTGGTGGTTGCTTGGATTTTGGTGTTGAAGAAGTGGACTGCTGGAAAATTGAAATAAGAGGGCCCAACACTTGGTCTCCAAATGGGTTAGATTTGTAAGCAATAAAAGAGCTGAAGGATTACAAACTTAACCGGTCTAAGTTGAGAAGTTAGCCAAATTGAGTTTAATTAGTAAATTCGATTAAAACTGAAATATGACGAATTAATATATTAAGGGCAACTTTCATATATATCAAACAAAAAATTCATATTTGTATATTATAGCAAAGTTTGCATAATTGCACTCCATAGCAAACATAAAACTGTATAATTCGCTATATATATACAATTGTATAATTCGTTGACCTATTTCGCTGCAATTGTATAATTCGCTATCCTATTTCACTGCAACTGTATAATGCACAATTGTATAATGCACAATTGTATAATTCACTGCCTATTTTGCTGCAATTTTTTTTATAAAATTTGCTTTGCATACAATTGAATCGAATTAAAATGTATGTATATTGCATAATTAGCAAGAAGATATATGTCTTTCCCTCGCTTTATACAAGAATAGGAACACAATATATACACTTTTGTTGTATAAAGCTATAGAAAATTGTATTTCACCGCAATTGTATAATTCGTTGACCTTTTCTCTGCAATATTTGTATAAAATTTGCATTTGTCTACAATTGAATTGAAGTAAAATGTTTGTAAATTGTATAATTAAGTGTATAACACAAAGATATATGTTTTTGCATGTGTATATACAATTTTCTCTCGCTTTATACGAAACAGAAACATAAATTATACACTTTTGTGTATAAAGCGAGAGAGGCGAGAATGGGAGAGCGGCGAGCGAGACTTTTGGGAGAGAGGCGCCCGGTAAATTTTGGCTAACGTTTTGCTATGGAGCACAATTAAATCAAACCCTAGCTACTCCATTTATTTTAAGTTATTAGTTTGCTATTATATACAATTTTCCCTATAATTAATTAATGAACTTCTTAATCTTAATGAAACAAAATAATTGATTTAATTATAAACTAATTAATTGAAAAATATTAACTATTATATAACTAAACTAATTAGTAAAATATTTAAGCAAAACAAAATCTTTTTTAGACGATTTATGAATATTCATAAAATGCACTAATTATATATATAATTATATAAAATATATATTTTATTGAGAAATTATAAATTTGACAATATTACATAACATAACTTGAAAAAATATTTTGAATTTTTATAAAACTAATTATTCCAAATCATTTGAAATTAAAGAAACTTAAAAATTAATACTCCCTCCATTTCAAAGAGAACGATTTCATTTCCTTTTTACTATTTCAAAACGAATGTCCTCTTTCTTTTTTTGGTAACATTTTTATTTCAGCTTTTCACGTGGCATGTTTAAGTCCACAAGATTAAAGGATTTTTGTACATTTGACATAACTTTAATTTAGGAACACAGGATTGAAAAGTCTTTTTATTTTCTTGAACTCTATGTCAAGTCAAACTAGATCATTATTTGTAAAACGGAGAAAATATATATTATGAAGGGTCAAAATTAAATATCAACGACTAGCTAATTTTGATCCTTTTTGATATACTCATAATATAGAGTAATTAAGTATTCAAATGGTTATAGTTCTTTTACATGGGTTTTCTATCTATTTTTCGGTGCTAGTGCCTAGCATCGAGTTGAGCTTTATCATAAAATAATCTCTCTATACGAGGGATATAAATAAAACTTATATACATTTTAACCTTTCAAATTTCAGTAATTATAATATGTTATCGTAGTCGATCGCCAAAATTATGACATTGACTTGTAATGTATTCCCAAAAAAGAGTGAAAAAAATATATGGAGAACAAAAAGTAAAGACAAAAGTGAAGTGATGAGATTATCCAAAAGAAGGGGATATGGTAACTACGTGGCATCTTTCTAGTGGTTAGAGCAGTAGCTCCACGCCATGACTTCACTCGTCGTCCAGGAAAAAGATATCCCCCCAACTAGTTCTGTTTTCTACTCTGTTTTGTTTATGCCTTTTTCTTCATCAAACAATCCCAAAAATTCTCAGAAACAAAATAAGAAAATTATAGCATATGGCAAGTTGTAACATGGCTTCTGCTGCATCAAGGTTTTTGGTGGCAACTCCTAATGTTGCCTCCAACACCACTTCTCGTACTAATATGTTATTTTTTCCCTCCAACAAGATCACCACCACCCAGAGACTCGTCGTAAGGGCGGCCGCAGAAGAGGCTGCCGCACCAGCCGCGGCCGCTACTGCTGAACCAGCCGTTGAAACCAAAGCTGCTAAGCCACCTCCAATTGGACCCAAGAGGGGATCCAAGGTAAGACTTTTAGTCTTTGTTTATAGTTATCGTCAAAGTTCAATGGTATATTTAAGCCGTACATATATGTTATTATTGTATTACAAATAAAAAGAGATCATGAATATGTTATTATCCTATAGGTGCCGATTAAATCGAGAATATGTTTGATACGGAGAAAAATATTTTTTCACTGAGAACATCTAAATGAATATTATTTGACAGGTGAGAGTTCTTAGGAAGGAATCTTACTGGTACAAGGGCACCGGTTCAGTTGTAGCTGTTGATCAGGTAAAAGAAATAATTATACATGATGTATGTCCAATTAGGATTTATTAGTGATATTTAACTTTTAATAATTTCCATTTTGTTGTTAATGTTTCAGGATCCAAAAACTCGTTACCCAGTTGTTGTACGATTTAACAAAGTGAATTATGCTAATGTTTCAACCAACAACTATGCATTGGATGAAATTGAAGAAGTGTGAAATGAGAACGTATGCCCTCAATTGGAATAAGTATATTATTTGTAGAATGCAAGGCCCTTTGTTTTTTTCATGTTTATTCTCTAGTTATATACAGGCTTTGAATGTGAATGAGTGTCTTATTATATTTTTTGTGGCATTACTCAAACTCTATTCTTTCTAATAAGATGCGGAGACGAATTCAAAATTCAAAATTTGAATTCACTCATCCACATTGTTTCATGATAAAAAGAGCTACAAATGGTCGAAACGAAAATTTAACAAGTTGGAGAACTGGAGCTAGCATTATGGCTCAAACTAACTTAGTATTTCAACAATAACGTATTTTGCTCTTCCATCAACATATAAAAGAGGGCAGTTCGGTGCAGAAAACATTCTGCGTTCAGGCAGTCGAGCAGGGTCCAAGATAATGCTACACCCCAAGAGAGTATATAACGTAGACAACATACCCTGAATCTCCACAAATCACTAGCTAGTCAATTTTAAGCTATTGCTGGTCAAATTCACATTTGGCTTACCCTTCTTCATACTTGAAGTAGGAAATCCCAGAAACTATGCAATACCTCTCCAATAAATCCTTGCTTAGCGGATTTATTTGTTATTGAACATCACTAGAACAAGGGATCAAGGCTCGAGACGAGCTATCATGATCAGACTGCTCGACTCTAGAAGAGAAAGCTATAGCTGAATTCAAAAGAGACGGATTGTTGACGTTTGACTATCAATTCATTACAGATAGGAGAAATGAATGCTCGCAGATAACTACCGTCTCAAGACCCAAGAAGACTGGTAAGGCTGAGTAATTAAAAACAGACACACCATACCTACTTACAACATATCTTAGGCTAAGGGTATCGCATGAGAAAGGAGGGAGATTAAGGGACGCAGCAACAAATCAGGCATATAGTCAGAAGGTTAGACGAACACAATAAGGAATGGCATTCACAATAGATGCACTTATCAACAGAGCAATACACCCTGAGGTAGAGGAATGACCATACTCAAAGTTGAGGCTCATGAACTAGACAACTACCTTGATAATACCCAAATATAGGTACTCAGACTATTCCAATTTTGTTTTAAGGACACTACAAACTTGTAGATAGAAGGTCTTTGATTCCTTCAAATCCCTTAGCTGAAAGAATCTTCTTTTTTGGTACTCTTCATGAGAGGGATGTGGTCTTAAATCCCTTTGCTGAAAGAATCTTCATTTTTGGTACTCTTCATGAGAGGAATGTGGTCTGTAATTCACATTTAAAGCACTGTTTTCTGAGTGAGCTTTAAAGACAGAAGAACATTCAACCTCTGTACTGATAGTGGTAATCTACACCTAATCTTTTCAGGCGAACCAAGACATGTTCAGCTTGAACCTATTCCGGTAGCAGCTTGAATCCATCTGGCAGACTGGAACACAGCTAAACCTAACCTTGTTCATTTGGAATGAAACAAAAAACCATCCACACCTCTCAGGGTATGCTACAGTTTCCATATCCTCATTCTGATCGGCAGTGAACATCAGAAAAATAGCATAAGTAGTATAGCAATTCCATCGGGAGCAAACAGAGAAGTCAGTCCTCTTGATCCCAAGATCAAGTAGTCGAAAAAAGAAGGCTGGAATCTTCAGGGTGTCCCGGCGAATGTCTTATGCACCATAAAAGTACAACCATGCAGCCTCAGACTGAGTCTTCTCAATAAGTTTAGTAGCTTTAGCAATCTTCTCTTTTATTCTAACTGTAATTATTTAATTGATACGTTCCCCCTTACTGGAAAAGGCCAATGACAGAATTTATATGCATCTTGGTTCTGGACCAATGTTTAATAAGTAATTTCACCGCAAACAAATTCAATCAATCAACTTCAGCATGCAAGATACATTTATACACATCTCTGCTCAGGCCAAATGTTTAATAAGTAATTTTACTGTGGACAAAATTTTAATCAATCAACTTCAGTATGCATGATGCATCTTTACTTGAAGTTTCAAATAAGCTTATTTGACAGACAAACACCAAATTCTTATTTCGTTTTCAATTGATATAGTTTCTCATAAATAAGAAAAGTGCAAGTGCTGGTCAATATTGCAAAGTACAAAACCAGTCTTTGAGGAAGGAAGAAATTCAGTAATAAACTCATGAATGAAGTTATATCAACATAGATTCCTGCTTCAACAATGAGTTTCCCAATCAGAAGCAAGATTTACTTGTAATGGAACAACATAATAAATATATCAGAGATCTGGAAGAATAATGCGTACAAGGAGAGCATGAGATAGGATCACTTGGCATGGATAGCTCAAGAGGGCCTAGCTCTCTGTTTTCCCAGCTTTAGCTTCCGATAGCAAAGATTCAAGTTCTCCTTTCCGATACAGCTTAATCGTGTCTGCACCCAAAAAAAAAGAGTAATGCAATTCATTCAACAAGTTTTTTCATATTCCAACAATTATG